AAATAATTGAAGATATCATCACGAAATGAACAAATCTGAAAGAGGTCCACATGTAGTACCTATATATGTAATATCAAAGCAATTGGACTTGCGGTTTTTAACAAGAAGTCGAAAATATCACTTTTTACCAAAAATATTCACCAAAATTAGAGAATTGAAGATATCGGACGTCGACGGACAATCACTCATATGATAAGCTCCGCGTGACAAAGTCGACAACGGAGCTAAAAACTGACTTTGTAATTTCCCCCATGGCTGTCATTTTAATGCCATTATTCAATACCAGTATATCACATTTTCTGAAGATCCTATATTAGCCATGGTGTCAGTTTGTATGGCAAATAATGCTGTTGACCTGGATAGAGGGTGGGATGATGAAACATGTTTTTGTTTCAACTCACCGCTCATGGTAAACATCGCCGTGAAGGAGGCATCATCGTACTTTGCTCAGCACAGTTAACAATTGTGTTACTGCGTCATTTACGGTATGCGTGATTCCAACATGATTTATCACTGTAATATTAATCTAATAGCCCGAGTAACGTGTTCTCACTAGAAAAACTTACATCGACGTAAGTTGCGCCCGGCTGACCATATATTTCTGTCTTTTGTGTATTTGTATTTGTTTTCATTCGATCAGTAATAGGTCTATGTGAAATGTCATAATATATATACATTATATATAAACTGGTTAGAACATGGAGATAGTCTCGTTTTAGCTCTAATGTTGGAACCAGTCGGCATATTTCTAGTTTTACATCGTCAATATAACAACCTAAACTGACACACATTGCGAGTCTGTCTACTTTAAAATACGATACACTTGAATATAATTGACCGAGCATTGAAATTCAGTATGGGGGAAACACTATTCGGGGAATGGCCTATTCCCCGAGACAAATGCCCATAGGAAAACAAACCTAACCCTGAAAACGTGATATTTCGAAGATGATAGCACACAACTGATATACGTATAGAACCGTGTGTATTGTATGAACGCATAAGTATGCGGCGAAATTTAAAATTTGACAGATGTATAGACCATTTGGGATACCTTTCTAACCAGTCACACCTATACTACGAGCTAACTCCTCCAGATGGTGATACCACACCAATGTTCACTATGCACTGCAAGTTACACAGCACAATTAGAAAATGGACGAAAGGTCGGGTAAAGAATCATTGCCGGAGAATGTCACAAGCACTTGCGTTATTATTAAACAATACCAGAATAAACGGCATGACTGGGAACGTGAGTGTTATGTAGTACATTTTATTTACACCGTTTTTGCTGTTGCAATGTGTGGGCACAATATTCAATGTTGTGCTTATGTCGTAGTCTATTTTCAATGCGCGTGCGCATTATGTTGCTGTCTACTTTCAATGCGCATGCGCATTGACATTATGTACATCAAAGCAAACAGAATTAAACAGAATGAGCCCTATATTTTCTTGTACTTAATTAAAAACAAGTATAAAAAACAATTATTGTTATTCCGTGTGATCGTCAAAACACTTCTATGTGTTGTTTTTTTTCAAGTTCCTTGAACAATGGTAATGGATAGTGTTCACACGCATTAATCAATTATATTATGAGAATGACTTCATCAATCACGTGCTAATACCATAGTGACAAACAACTGAACAAGTTTACGAGTGTTGAGAAGACGAAATGTGTTCATTGTTTTTCCCTAAAATGTCCCGTCTACAATGCCAATACGTTATTTGAACACGATTATCGATTTTACAATTAAATGTGCAAGATTGTTTTCCTAGGATGTTCTGCTATATACTTGTCCCAGCAGGACTTGTATAGCGCGTTCGATACACATTGTTTTCATAGATAAATTGTTTATTCCAGAAGCCAATAGTTCTAATAACAGGTAATAGGTGATAGCAATAGGTACATACACGAACTATATACACCGATTTATTTGCCCCGATGCACTCCCTGTAGCATCGGAAGCACATTTATTTATTATTTTCGCGCATGCGCAGGTGAGGAAACCTCGGCTTTAAAACAAGGGTAGAAATAAATGTGTTTTGATGTTGCAATAAAGCAAAGAGGGACTGCGAAAATATCTCTAAGGATCATGAAAGAAAATACGAGAGAAAAGCAAAGAACTCATGCACCACAGCCGACACCAGTGCGTGGAAAAATCAATATCAAATCAAAATCATAATAGCTCTTCTTTTATAAAGTGATGTCACCGGAAACT